CAATGTACTATCATCCCCATGAATGGCTACAGATATTACCTGTTTAATGTATTTTGTACACTTGAATCCTGCTTTTCATACATGAATCGTCAAAAAGCAATTTGAATGTAAAACAACATGTTTTACAGAGAGGCTGTCTGTATTGGCTAAATACTGTAGTAATAGAAACTCAAATTCTTTATCTGGCATTATGCAAACCCTTGCAAGATTGAGGGGAGCAGCGAGGATGGCAGAATGTAGGTGGTGGTCAGGAAAATTATCTGATTGCAGAGTCAAAGGAATGAGGATGGGATAAAGCAGATTTTAGCTGGTTTCATCAGTATTAGATGCTGGAACACTTGTATTGCAATTTTTCCCCATTTAAAAACTTTTCTTGCTAGGAAACTAGCTGACATACTATAATCATATTACTTTCTTGCTTAGAAAATACATCTGCTAAATTTGAGGCCCAAAAATGCCACAAAATTTCATTACGCTCCTGTAAATGTTTAACAGAGAATTGCTGCTTGGTAGTTTTCCAAACTGGAGAACTTATTTGTCCCCCTTTAGTTAAATGATATCCCTGTTATTTTTATTATTTCATTTAATAGAATGCCCCCTTTTCTAACCCATTCTGCCTTTTTCCTTAAGGAGAGGGGGGTGTCATTGTAATGTAGAAACTTCTAGCACTTTCTAATCACAGAAGCTTTATAGCTTTTAAAAAATCTGTAAATGGGAAGCTGGTTGTACAGAGATAGCAAAATAATAACATGGTGATACCTTTTCAGTACTGAAAATGTGTGTTTGTATTTCTTTTGGATATGTGAAAAAACCCAGCCTTCTAGATCCCTCAGTGGGGAATGGAGCTGGTCTAAATAACAGCTACCTTTGAGGTGTAATTGTACGTACTTGGGATAAACCCTTGGTCAGATTCAGAGCAGGGTTGAATTTCTACTCTGTGCCAGCTTCCTCCTTCCCAGTTTTTTTAAAGAGCTCGGAATGTTTTATCTGGTGACTCAGCTGGTTGTTAAACTGCCACTTAGAAAAATTGAATGTACTTGGGATCAAATGTTCCAGGTTTCTTTTTCCAACTCAAACATACAATAGCATTAAAAACTTACAGCCACCCTTTGTCTTTGGTAATCCATTCCGAATGAAGAACTAGTTAAGCAGCATTATTTTACAATCAGAGCAAAAGGTATTGTATACTGACAGAGGATTCAAGATCTACCATCCACCATAACTCTAGACTCCTTGTTATCCCGGTGCCAATCCCCACTTTGAAAGCATAGATAAGCAACCGATTAAATCTATTTTAGAGTACACTCCCCCCCCTCCAAATTAACACGCCTAGTATGTTTCAGAATGGCTAGAGCTGAGACAAATTGCTTACTGCTTTTTAATTAACCTCTGTATTACTACCTACGCTGTGGTTAACATAGCACAATAGAATAATCCACTTTGTTCCCTTTACACAAGGAGGACAAAGTGCCATTGCTGAACCTTCAAAACAAAAACATCAACCATTCAGTAATTAAGAGAGGAAGAAACATGATATCCGTGTTCCCCAACATGGTGCCTTCCAGATGTGTTAAGATAAGGGCATCTTAATCCTGTCCTCCTGGAAGGGACTGAGTTGGGGGGATTCTACAGGTACAAGTCGACTTACAATCATTCGTTTAGTGACCTTTCAAAGTTAAAATGGCACTGGAAAAAAAAGTGATGTATGACCTCTCCTCCTACTTACGTCTGCTGCACATTAAAATAAATTTCAACCATCCTGAACCATTTCTTTTTTCTTTTTTAATTTCAGGGAAAAATGCTGAGCATCTTTCTTGTGGGGATCGGTGACGACTGAGCTGCTGGTGGCGTGCCAAGAGTGGGGACCGTTGTCTTTGCTGTGCTAACTGTACTCAATCTGAACTGCCAGTAGTCTCCCTTGCCGTTTTGGGGGTTGCACGGGAGAACCCTGATAGCCCAGGAAGCAGCCCCACGCAAAACAGGATGTTTGGACGATGATGATGGCAAGGAAGCAAGATGTCCGCATTCCCACCTACAACATCAGTGTGGTGGGCTTGTCCGGGACCGAGAAGGAGAAAGGCCAGTGCGGTATCGGGAAGTCCTGTCTCTGCAATCGGTTTGTGCGGCCAAGAGCAGACGACTTCCACTTGGACCACACCTCCGTTCTCAGCACCAGTGACTTTGGAGGACGGGTGGTTAACAATGACCACTTCCTGTTCTGGGGAGAAGTGGTGCGCTCCCTGGAGGACTGTGTGGAATGTAAAATGCACGTTGTGGAACAGACCGAATTTATCGACGACCAGACTTTCCAGCCGCACCGCAGCACCGCCCTGCAGCCCTACATCAAGAGGGCCGCGGCGACCAAACTGGCCTCCGCCGAAAAGCTCATGTACTTTTGCACCGATCAGCTTGGCCTGGAGCAGGACTTTGAGCAGAAACAAATGCCCGACGGGAAGCTGCTGGTGGATGGCTTTCTTCTCTGCATCGATGTCAGCCGGGGCATGAACAGGAACTTTGACGAGCAGCTCAAGTTTGTCACCAACCTCTACAATCAACTCACCAAGACCAAGAAGCCCACCGTGGTGGTCCTGACCAAGTGCGACGAAGGCGTGGAGCGGTACATTCGAGATGCACACACTTTTGTCTTCAGCAAAAAGAACCTCCAGGTGGTGGAGACCTCGGCCAGATCCAACGTGAACGTTGACTTGGCCTTCAGCACTTTGGTGCAGCTGATCGACAAAAGCAGGGGGAAGACTAAAATTATCCCGTACTTCGAGGCTTTGAAACAACAGAGCCAACAGATCGCTGCCGCGAAGGATAAGTATGAGTGGCTGGTGAGCCGTATTGTTAAAAACCACAACGAAACTTGGTCCAACGTCTCGCGAAAGATGCAATCCTCTCCGGAATATCAGGATTACGTCTACTTGGAAGGGACTCAGAAAGCAAAGAAACTCTTCCTACAACACATCTTTCGCCTCAAGCAAGAGCACATAGAGCGCAGGAAAAAGATGTACCTGGCTATGTTGCCTCTTGCCTTTGACGCCCTCATCCCAAACCTGGATGAAATCAACCACTTGAGTTGCATCAAAGTGGAGAAACTGCTGGAGACCAAGCCGGACTTCCTGAAGTGGTTCGTCGTTCTTGAGGAGACGCCCTGGGATGCCACCAGCCACATCGACAACATGGAGAATGATCGCATCCCATTCGATGTGATGGACACCTTGCCTGCCCAGCAGCTCTACGAGGCCCACCTGGAAAAGCTGAGGAATGAGAGGAAGAGGGCAGAAATGAGAAGGGCTTTCAAGGAGAATTTGGAGACGTCCCCTTTCATCACCCCGGGAAAACCTTGGGAAGAAGCTCGCAGTTTCATCATGAATGAGGATTTTTACATGTGGCTAGAAGAATCTGTGTACATGGATATTTACGGCCGGCATCAGAAACAAATTATCGAGAAGGCCAAGGAGGACTTCCAGGAACTGCTCCTGGAGTATTCAGAACTCTTCTATGAGTTGGAGCTTGATGCCAAACCCAGCAAAGAAAAAATGGGGGTCATCCAGGATGTCTTGGGGGAAGAGCAGAGATTTAAAGCGTTGCAAAAGCTGCAGGCTGAACGAGACGCACTGATCTTGAAACACATTCACTTTGTCTACCATCCCACCAAGGACACTTGTCCCAGCTGCCCGGCTTGCGTAGATGCTAAAATAGAGCACTTAATAAGTTCCAGGTTTATCAGGCCCTCGGATCGCAATCAGAAAAACTTGCTTTCTGATTCCAACATCGACCGCATCAACTTAGTCATTCTTGGGAAAGATGGACTCGCCCGTGAGCTAGCCAACGAGATCCGAGCTCTTTGCACAAACGACGACAAGTACGTGATAGACGGGAAAATGTACGAGCTCTCCTTGAGACCCATTGAGGGAAACGTCCGGCTGCCGGTTAATTCTTTCCAGACGCCCACATTTCAGCCCCACGGCTGCCTCTGCCTTTATAACTCTAAGGAGTCCTTGTCTTACGTGGTGGAGAGCATCGAGAAGAGCAGAGAGTCCACCCTCAGCCGGAGGGACAATCACCTCGCTCACCTTCCTCTCACCCTAATTCTGGTGAACAAGAGAGGGGACACTAGCGGAGAAACACTACACAGCTTAATACAGCAAGGCCAGCAGATTGCAAGTAAATTGCAGTGCGTGTTCCTCGACCCGGCTTCCACCGGCATAGGATACGGGCGCAACATCAACGAAAAGCAGATCAGCCAAGTCCTGAAAGGTTTGCTGGATTCAAAGCGCAACTTAAACCTGATGAGCTCAACCGCAAGCCTTAAAGACCTGGCCGACATCGACCTTCGGATCGTCATGTGCTTGTTGTGCGGAGACCCTTTTAACGCCGACGATATCCTTCTCCCTGTTCTTCAGTCCCAAACCTGCCGGCCCTCCCCTTCTGGAAGTAGCAATTCCGTGTTACTGGAATACCCCATCGGACCGCACAAGAGGCGCATTGAGCTCTCCTTGCTGTCCTTCCACTCCGCCTTCAGCATTCGCAAAAGCTGGCTGGTCCACGGTTACATTTTGTTTTACTCCGCCAAGCGCAAGGCATCTCTAGCTATGTTACGTGCCTTTCTTTGCGAAGTGCAGGACATCATCCCCGTGCAGATTGTGGCGCTCACGGAGGGCTCCATCGACGTCCTAGACAACGATCTGAGTCGGGAACAGCTGATGGAGGGGGAGGAAATCGCCCAGGACATCGAAGGGAAATTCACAAGCATCCCCTGCAGCCAGCCTCAGCACAAGCTGGAGGTCTTCCACTTGTTCTTCAAGGACGTGGTAGAGAGGAAGAACATCATCGAGGCGACCCACATGTACGACAATGCCGCGGAAGCCTGCAGCACCACGGAAGAAGTCTTCAACTCTCCCCGGGCCGGCTCCCCTCTCTGCAATTCTAACCTGCAGGATTCCGAGGAGGACGTCGAGCCTCCCAGTTACAGCCCCTTCAGGGACGACAGCTCCATGCCCACCTTGTCCAAAGACCTGTCCAAGCTCTCCATGGAGCTGGAGGGCAACGATGGGCTTTCGGTCTTCTCTCTGATGAGCACTTTTGAAAGCAAACTGAACAACAAAGTACCTCCGCCGGTGAAACCAAAGCCCGCTGTCCATTTTGATATTACCAAGGGGGATCTCTCTTACTTGGAGCAAGGACACCGCGAGGGACAACGGAAACCTGTCTCCTCCAGCAGCTGGCCACCTACCGATGGCTTTGACCCTTCGGATTACGCCGAACCGATGGACGCCGTGGTCAAACCCAGAAACGAGGAGGAGAATATCTACTCGGTGCCTCACGACAGCACCCAAGGCAAAATCATCACCATTCGGAACATCAACAAAACCCAGTCCAATGGTAGCGGCAACGGGTCGGACAGCGAAATGGACACCAGCTCATTGGAGCGGGGACGCAAGGTGTCGCTGACCACCAAGCCGGTGCTGTATCGGACCCGATGCACGAGACTTGGGCGGTTTGCCAGCTTCAGGACCAGTTTCAGTATAGGGAGTGATGATGAGCTGGGGCCCATCAGGAAGAAAGAGGAAGACCAGACATCCCAAGGCTATAAAGGAGATAATGCTGTCATTCCCTACGAGACCACTGATGAAGACCCCAGGAAAAGAAACATCTTGCGCAGCTTGAGAAGGACCACCAAGGTAATGTGTGTGTGTACGTCTGGGAGTGTCTTTAACTCCAGATGGTCTGGTTTAGAGCAGGGTGGGGATGATGGTCCTTTTATGACTTAAAGTCCCCAAGTCATAAAAGGAACATAGTTCCCCACCCCCTGCATTAGAGGGTCATCCAATTGTTTGCTAATACAATTGAAAAATAATTAGGAGTGGTTTGGGATGTTTGAACAGAGGGTTATCTGTACTTTAGGAGTCTCGGAATAGAGGGCTGCATTTCTGTGTAAGACCTGGGCAGTTTATTTGCTGTTTAGCTCTATATTTGAGAAACATTGGGAACAAATGTAAAGGATTCAATATTGATTTAAAGATAACATTTTGGTTTCAGAAATGAAGGTGTTGAACTTTGAAGACACCGGGTGACCTTGGGTCAGTCACTCTTCCTCTCAGCCCAACTCAGGATTGTTGTGTGGGAACACACAAGGAAGGAGTGCTATTTACACTGCCTTGAATTGCACAGAAATAATGGATGCTAATCTGATAAACAAATTCTCACGAGACTCTGTCCCTTTGCATTCTGAGAAGCTAGCCAGCTAATAATGCTCTGATAATCTCTGACCAGAGTTACAGTTTAGGGGTCTGTTCAATAATTATAAGAAAAGCATTCTAATCAGATATTAATACAATTGTGCTTTTTTATGTAAGATTCCATATCTGCCTTTTAAATCCGGTTTCAGAAAGCAATTTTCAAATAAGCAGCTGGCCCTTTTGAAAGTAATGAATTTTGAAGAGCTAGTTGTCAAGTATACAATATGGACTTTGTGTTTCAAATTATTTTCTGGGAACCTCATCACTGTTCTGGTTTGTAATAAGACATCAAAAATACGCCAAAAAGGACAGATTGTAACGTCAATAGGAAGTGCCAGATAATGTCTATATGTTTTCATTTCTCATGTGATTTTCAAACCAATCCCCTTAATCTATAGTTCTGTAGAGGAGTTTGAAATGACATCAGAAAGGATTCCTTTCTTTCACAGAAGGACCGGGGTCTCTTTAAACAATGCTGTGGCTGCTTTACAAAACGGTGGTGGTTTCATTCTTGCTGCAGTTGTCCTGCTGCCAGCAGGGTGGACTTCTCCACATTGGCAGGAGAGCTCTGTTACTGGAAGAGGGGGGTGGGGTGGGGGGGTGGAATACAAAAGCAAGCTAGATAGGGTTGGTTTTTTTAATGCCCTCTATTTGAAAAAGCTTGGATAATGACTCGGAGCTTGCTACTTTAAAAAACAACAACTATATTTTATTTTAAAATGATGCGATGGTTGTATGCTTTGCAAGCTGAAAGCAGGAAAAAAAGCCAACCCCCTTTTTCCTCGCAGTCTACAATGGCATCTCACATCTCCTAATTGGAAAGCAACCCCTGATTAGAAGGGATATGAATATTATTAACTCTTCCATTCCTTTATGGGGCAGGGGGAATAACCCCCTCGAGGCTCCTTTTTGTACCAGGCCATCTGTTTGAACTGTTAGTGTAAGAAAAAAGATAAAATTAGGTGTCAAGAGAGAGTACATGGCCAAGAGATCTCTTCCAGCAGTTTGCAGAAATTCAAACTTGCCATCCAGGCGTGAACAAAAACTGCTCGCTAGAAAATTCAGGGTGGGGAGAGGGAGTAGTTGCTGACCTGCCTCTTAATCAGCAGAGGGAGCCCAGACAGGCCACCAAGCTCAGTGGGTAGGGTTTCAAAGCTGGCGCAAGGGAAAGCTTAAATAACCGGAGAAAGTTTTCTACGTATATTGTCTGCCGGGAAATCACAGAGACAGGCAGTCCTCGACTTACGACCATAATTGAGCCAAAAATGTCTGTTGCTAAGCCAGCTGGTTGTTAAATGAGCTTTGCCCCATTTTACAGCCTTTTTTGGCCACAGTGGTTAAGTGAACCACTGCAGTTAAGTGAATCGTGAGGTCGTTAAGCAAAGCCATGATTTACTATGGGTGTGCTTTGGCCAAACATTGGGAGAAATTGCTGGTTTTCGGCAAAACCATCGTAAAATGCGATTGTGTGACTGCGGGATTCTGCAGATGGCTGTAAAGGCAGTCCTGAAGTTCGGCCGTGGGATCACAGAAGGGACATGATCATCAGAACTTTAAACCAGGTTTAAAGAGACTCCATTACCTTAGAGCCTTGCAAAAGAATAAAGTGGAACAATGACTGATGACCTCCTTTTATCGGTGCCACAGCAGAAAGCGTCCTCACATATTGCATGACGGTGTGGTACGCTGGCTTGACAGCCACGGATAGAAAGACACCACAGAAGGTGGTGAGCACAGCACAAAACATGGTGGGCTGTCCCCCTGATACCACTAGATGACCTCACTGGGACTCGCTGCCTTAGAAGAGGGAGGAAAATCCTCAGGGACGACTCAGACCCTGGTCAGCACTTCTTCGCTCTCCTGCCATCGGGTGGGAGATAGAGAAGCAGAGCCAGCCGCACCAACAGGGTGAAGAACAGTTTCTACCTGTGGGCTGTCAGACTCCTGAACGGAAAATAGCTTCATGTCAACATAGTAGGATAGAATTGCAGGGATGGCACATTGTGCAACGAGGTCACATAGTGTAATAAGATTGGGACTGGGTTAGGGACTTTCTGTCCTCCCTGTGAGTTGTGTTGTGGGTGTGTGCACGAAGGGGGGCTCAGCCAATCTCAGAGTACACATGTTGTACTCTGACAATAAAGGTAATAATAAAGTAATAATAATAAAGTTATAGGTAGCCCCAAGGTAGGTCTATTGGAAACTCGGACCCTCGCTAAGCAACCGGTCATAAGTCAAAGACCAACTGTATGCAAGTGGATTTTAGAGTGGAGGGTATTCATTGTCATGTTGTGTCTCTCATAACAGAATCTTCTCTAAAATGCATGGCTAGTCTTTATTTATTCTTCAGCCATTGGACACCTTTCAGGGACGTGAAAGCCTCTTTGTAGCTCAATCATAGTTTGGGCTTATTACCCTGATAGATAGAAATGTGTTATAAAAAGCAGGGTGGGGGGGTGGGGGGTGTTACAGTTTATCCATAGGTAAAAGGGGCCTTTGTGTCCATCTTTTTTCTTCTCTCTATATGCATACAGGCAGCTTGCCAAGATAATGGCCATCGGCCATATTGCAAAATTAATACGGCTTAGGCACTTAAATGTGGACTGCCTTTGCTGCTTCATGAGGCCTGCTCTCAACGGACTGTGTCATGGATTTCTAGCTGCTTCTGTCACATTGATTTTTTTCCATGATAAATCAACTTTGATTTTTAATCTGCATTCCTGCGCTGTTAAGTTCAGGAGCTGACTCAACATATCGTGGAAGTCACTTCTGTATGAAAACAATGACTGAATCCACTATCCTTCCCCATTTAAATATAGCAGGAGAAATCGTAACGGTATTGGACTCAAAAAAAGAAGATCGGGTCGATTCCATCTGTAGAAAACAATTAAGAAAGTTTACAGATTTCATTATCCCCGATATGCCTTAACCACTAGACCAAGCTCTCTCTCTTAATTGTTATTTACTAACTATGCCTCAAAGCAGAAATCTGGGAGCTGAAAGTTATTAGGACAGTCAGTGGGAATGGACATATCTTGCAGTTTTTCAGAGTATGTTCCTTTAAGTGTGTTTCCACTCTTCTCTTTCAGGTCTGTTTTTGTGCAGCTCTTCAGGGTTATGAATGAAGTGGTGGACAAACCACCCTGGAGCATGTTAGACTATCTCTCTGAGGTGTTCTAGCTTTTAGGTTGTCCCAGAGCACTCTGATCAGGAAAACTAGGGTTATCTCCAAAATCCTCATTTCGCTACGATGTCCATTCCTGAAATAATATCCACAAATAGCATAAAAATGAGAGCATCAAGATTTACACTCAGCATCCCTTTCCCTGTGCAAGCTTTTCAACTGATTGAGATCTAATAATACTTTGCTCTTTGAGTTTGTACAGCTGAAGTGCTGGTTGTAAATCACCAGGGCTTTTTAAAAGTTGGCTCCTTTTATTGTCGCTTATGGTCATGAGGTAATATATATGGCTACTTCTGTTACCTTTTGGATTTATTCCTCAATAAATCTCTGTAGAGTAAGCAGTGTAGGATAGGAGAAGTACAAGCATCTTCCCAAGAGGTGAATGGAGTGCACCTGGTTTAATCTTGAAATAGAATCTGCTAGGGTGAGCGGACAAGGAGAAAAGACACACTCCGTCTTCATGCACATTTATCAAGGGATTTTGGCGTATGTGTTCGCTGAAGCCAGCCACAATTGTAAATATCCCTTGAATCTTTTTGCCTGAATGTAAGTTTCCAACCTCTTTAAGCGTGATTGAGTCAAGAAATTTCACTGAATTATAATTTGGCTGGTGGATGGTTTGCAAGTAGTCCTCGATTTATCACCACAGTTGAGTCGAACATCTTGATTGCTCAGTGAGACGGTTGCTAACTGAGTTTTGCACCATTTCGTGCCACAGTTGTTAAGGGAATCACTGCAGCTGAGAATGGTTGTTGAGTGAATCTGGCTTCCCCATTGACTTTGCTTGTCAGAAGGTCTCAAAAGGGGATTATGTGACCCCAGGACACTGCGACTGTCATAAATACGAGTCATTTGCAAAGTGTCTGAATTTGGCTCACATGGCCACTGGAATGCTGCAATGGTCATAAGTGTGAAAAAGAGTTGTAAATCACTTTTTTCAGTGCCGTTGTAACTTCGAACAGCCACTAAACAAATGGTTGTAAGGCGAGGACTACCTGTATTTATCAACAGGTAGAATTTAAGCTCTTATTAAGCTATGGTTACCTGGTTTAATTTCTTGTTAAAGTACCTGGTATCTTCATACAGAAAGGTTCATTCTCTTCTGTGGTCTGAAAATAAATGGTTACACTCACACACACACACGCCCCTTGTTGTTACAAGCTAGTATTGTTCAAAATATCCTTCTGTCACCAGAACCTTAGAAGAGGAAGTTGTATGGAAATAGACTAAACAGGAAATAGACAATGGAGAGGGTGAGAACTTTCCTGGGGCCACATGGTTCAGGAGATGTCCTCAAGGACTGGTATTTTATCTAGGCCACTGATTCCTTTCTTTCTTTCTTTTTTGAGCTCAAAATAACAAAACATCTGTCCTTGTATTTTGGGGCCCTCATTGTAATTGAGTCACACCTCACCTATTGTTACTTTTCAATTATTGCAGTGCGTCCATCTTCTCAGGTTTCCTGCCAACTTCCTCACCTTGAAAAAAACGTAAATCACTATTTTTATGATGAAAAGTCATTATAAATTTATTTATAAAACTACATAGGATGCCAACTCAGTGATTTGAGATTTACAAAAGTAGTTATATCGGGCAAGTTTTAGGATTAAAGAGCTATTTATGAGAAGTCGGGCCCCTTGTGCCCTGTTGGCTTTGTTTCAGAGATATTTCCTTACCTAAACAGAGAAGCAGAATGACCACAGGTAGGCAAAAAAGCAATGGGAGCACCGTCCGACTTCCTGATGGCTCCCCCATTGACTTTGCCTGAATAAAGCTAGTCAGGAACTTTCAAAAAGTGACTGTAGCAGTTTGGTACCATTTGGGGCACATTCTATAAGCTTACTTGAGGTACCTTGATTAAAAAAATTGTTGCTGTATGGTGCACCATTTCACCCAATTGAAGGTTACAGTCAAACAGGCCCGAAAGTTTTAGTGGAATATATATGATGCCGGTTAATTCTGCTTCCTTGTCTTACATCCAAATACCGTGGATCAAATCTGTGTTTGATTTGGCAGATCCAGGATTGATTCAGCCAGAAATCTTTCTTTTTTGCTTTCTTTCTTTTTCTTTTTCTTCTTTTTTCCTCCTCCTCCTCTTCTTCTTCTTCTTCTTCTTCTTCTTCTTCTTCTTCTTCTTCTTCTTCTGTATATTTAAAAAAGAGGCTTGGATTAGGACTCTGGTTTGGGGACTTAATCTTTCTCTTATGCAGTCCCTGATCTGTGGTTGTTTTCATTTGTCTTTTTTTTTTACACAGGTAGTCCTCCACTTACAACTGCAATTGAGCCCAAAATTTCCTTTGCTAAGTGAGATGTTTGTTAAGTAAATTTTGCTCCATTTCGTGACCTTTCTTGCCACAATTGTTAAGGGAATCACTGCAGTTGTTAAGTTAGTAACCCGGTTGTTAAGTGAATGGGGCTTCCCCATTGACTTTACTTGTCAGAAGGTCGCAAAAGGGGATCACATCACCCTGGGACACTGTGACCGTCATAAATATGAACCAATTGCCAAGCATCCAGATTTTGATCATGTGACCATGGGGAGGCTTCAATAGTCGTAAGTGTGAATAATGGTTGTTGGTCACTTTTTTTAGGGCCGTTGTAACTTCAGACGGTCACTAAATGAACTGTTGTAAGTCGAGGACTAACTATAGTTTGTAGCTCAGTGTTTAATAATCCTCTGCTGCTCATCTTTATGATGTGTGAATCTACTAGATCTTGCCTTTGTTGTTCTAAGCTAGTCTTGGCGTGTTGTTTCAGCCTCAACGCTATTTAAACTACAAAATACCTTTCACAGCACTGTTTTCAAAACAAAATCGTGTGTGATCTGCATCGTATTACCTTAATCTGGAGGAAGCAGAACAGAATCTTCCCCGTTCGCTTTTGCTGTCTTTGACGCCTGCCACTGTTTTGAATTCTCTGTCGCTCAGTGTATAAATATGTTCATAATTATTTTGGTTGCGCTGAGCCTATTTTTCTCGTGGCTTATGTTGTGACATATCCCTCGAATGGCTTTCTGCTTTTTATATAACGTTTTCCAACTGGTGGTATTTATTGGTTAGGTTCCTGTCTTTAAGAGCTCCTGGTGACATCATTTCAGTTCCTTTCCCCCACCCCATTTTCCCACCCTCACAAGCCTGCCAGGAATGGACGGGGAGAGAGTGGCTGACCTTTCAAAGAGACCAGAGAGATTTCCATGGCTAAGGGTGGCTTGGGAATCTTGGTCTGGCATCCTACTCACTGCTATGCGGTGGCTCAAAGTCTCACCCGGCTGGCTTTCATGGTTAAGGTGGGATTGGAACTCACCGTCTCCTGGTTTCTAGATCAGCACCTTAACCACTACACCAATTCATATTGCAAGCATAACTTAAGCAAATATGACTTACTAGCAGTTTGTGCTTTCAGACATATAGATCCCCTTTGTCTAATCAGATGTAAGGTTTTTAAGTGAAATGTGGAGCTATTATCTTTAGGCAATAAAACAGTTCCTTCCTTCCTTCCTTCCTTCCTTCCTTCCTTCCTTCCTTCCTTCCTTCCTTTCTTCTTTCTTTCTTTCTTTCTTTCTTTCTTTCTTTCTTTCTTTCTTTCTTTCTTTCTTTCTTTCTTTCTTTCTTTCTTTCTTTCTTCTTTCTTTCTTTCTTTCTTTCTTTCTTTCTTTCTTTCTTTCTTTCTTTCTTTCTTTCTTTCTTTCTTTCTTTCTTTCTGAGTATACATTCCCGGCCATACTAACTCTTGATTAATTGTTTTCCACAGAAACCAAAGCCTAAGCCTCGACCATCTATCACAAAGACTACCTGGGAGAGCAACTATTTTGGGGTGCCTCTGACCACTGTAGTGACCCCAGAGAAGCCCATTCCCATTTTTATTGAGAGATGCATCGAATACATTGAAGCAACAGGTAAGCAAGAAAGCCGTGTTTTAATAGTTAAAGTTGGTATTTAAGGCGAGTAGCAGCCAGAGAGTAGCAGGGCCACATTGCTTAAGTGGACACACCCGGGTCTGTCAAAATGTGGGGGTTTTCCTTTTTTTTTAAAAGTGTGATATGCCTATTTCAATGACAGGTCCTTGGTGCTCTCTGAGGTTGGTTGGGTTCTTGCAGACATTTCATTACCCAAACTAGGTAACATCATCAGTCCAACTAGTTTGGGTAGTGAAATGTCTGCAAGAAACCGACCAAGATCAGAGAGCTTCAAGGATGTCACATTTCAATACTTTACAGATATTCTTCTTTATTGGTACATGTTTTAAGACACACACTTCAGTTTTCATCTATTTCTTTCTTCATAATGAAGGGAAACCACTACTTTTTTAAAAATCATGGGCAGAGGGGCTCTGTGGGGTACAAAGTGAGGAAATGGGGCCACTTGTGGCTCTGGAACCATGGGTTGTCCACTTCTGGTTGGAGATCCCAGCACTGTTTTGGAGATGGTTGATTTAGGATTATTATCCTGAGGTTACAGTCCTTGGTAATACGGAGGAAATCTCGGAGTGTCGTTCTGCTTCAGTTTCTCATGCTTTCAGAGCAACTTCGTAATTTTTGGTTGCTGAAATTGTAGAGTGTGCTCCCCTTCTGCTAAATTGTGATAATGCTCATACAGTTAAGGACAAAATCAGCAGCTCCTAATTGGCAGGTTTTTGTTTTTTTCCCTGTTTCTGCCTCACTTCAGGTTCTCACAGCCTGCAGCGATGGAGCAAAATAAAGGGTTTGTTTTTTTTATCATCCTTTGTCTTGTGAGCAAATAACACACTATTAAACAAAATCCACTGGGACACCTACTGCCTGCCTAAGCAGAAGAAATAAAAAAATGAATTCAGGACAGGAATAAATCCGAAAGTCTCAGCACGCTGGTTAGGAGACCGAAATGATTTGTCCACGTAACTATTGAATGCAGTTTAAGCTAAAACTGCTTGGGAGACATGATGTATTCTGGTAGGAGTTGAACTTGGACTTCAAAGTGTTCTGTGGATGTGGCTGCCATCTGTCCTTCCCTTGGTTAATTATGTAGAGATAACCTTTGAACTGCCGGGAGAGTTTTAGGCGATCGCGTCTTGCATCACTACACCTGTTCTTTGCTGATTCTTACTGGCGTGTCACGCAGGTAGAAAGCTCTTTTGATGTTATCCCAAAAGCTGCAAAACTCTTTGGAGAAGAGAGGGGGGGGTTTTCATTCAGCTGTGTTTATTACATTAAATAAATGGACTTACACTAAATAAACAACATATATGCAATTCAAATAATTATTATAGTTAATTTTTTTGCATTGGCTCTTGGAACTCCATGAATAAAATGGGACATGCTGCATTTTTTGTGAAGGCTTAAACCAATTGTAAGGGCCTCTCCCCTCTAAGTGGTAAGTCTTCCAAACTTCTTTCCTTATCAGTTCTCCTCTTTACTGCATCAATAATTGACAGCCGTGTCTAACCGTGGAGGTTCAAACAGAATATGAATCTTTTTATCCCTTGCAGCTACAGCAGGTGAAATTGGATAGCATCTGCCAGCTGCTTAATTATTTAACTATTAGCCAGGTTGATCTGGGAACCTTAAAAGACATCTTTGCATTGCATATGCATATCCCCCGTAGGATAAACGCTTGGCAACCCTCAGGGTAAAATCGCAAAGCTGACTTTTGGCCACGGAATATTTGCTCTTATTTCTAGAGAAAATCAGAATTTCAGATTAGTTATTTGGATTGAAATGTTTGTTTTGCCTTTGAGCCTGGTTCTCACTGGCTCCTAAGAGCTTAGATCTTGACTGCCTTCATTTTTGGGGCACGAGTAGTATTTGCTTGTGGCTTGGAGGGGCTGTTTGTCAAGATCACTCGTTTGATGGCTGGATGAAGTTCCCGTTTGCTAATCTGTCAGTTTAAAAGCAAAGTTGCAGGTACTCTTGGTCGCTGCTAATACATTGGATGTTCTTGGGGGAAGCCAAACAGCAGCCGGCGTTCTGCTTAGGTGTCTGTTGAGGGCATGAACATACCTAACACACAACTTTTCGGTGCTCTGTTCCCACCAACAGGGAATAAAGACAAACTGAGAATGAGGTTCAGGTAATCCTTGACTTATAATATTTCATTTAGTAACTGTTCAGAGTTACGACAGCACTGAAAAAAGGGACTTGCGACCATTTTTCACGCTTATGACTGTTGCAGCATCCTCCTCATGGTCATGTGACTTACATTCAGATGGTTCATATTTACGATGGTTGCCCTGTCCCTGGGGGCTCACGTGATCTCCTTTTGCGACCTTCTGATGAGCAAACTCAATGGGGAAGCCAGATTCACTTAACAACCATCAGCTGCAGTGATTCACTTAACAACCGTGGCAGGAAAAGTCGTAAAATGGGGCAAAACTCACTTAACAAATGTCTCACTTAGCAACATAAATTCTGGGCTCACTTGTGGTCGTAAGACAAGGCGTATGTGTATTTCACAAGCAGGATGAAAACCTAAATAGTAAATCACTTTACACAACTGGTTGCTCTAGAGCAGGGTTTCTCAATCTCGGCAATTTTAAGACCTGTGGACTTGAACTCCCAGAATCCCCCAGCCAGCAAAACTGGCTGGCTAGGGAATTCTGGGAGTTGAAGTCCACAGGTCTTAACATTGCCGGGGTTGGACACCCCTGACGTTACAGAAAGCTTTTAAACCACGTTGGATGCTTCTTGAGAGTTAGTTTCAAACAGAATATCCTGCAGACAGAGCATGGTGCAACCCTCCCTGCACTGTATCCGATGCTTGACATGCTTCCTGTTAAATCTGTTCTCCACGTTCCCTATTCCTCTTCTCCCCCTTTTACCTGCCTGGTAACTCTGAGAGGCACATCATTTTCTCCTGTGCTCGAAAGCATGTCAGAGCAATAAGCCTCTTAGCGGATATAATTGGGAAAGAGTAAAAAAATAATAAGTTGGCTTGTATTGAATGCTGCATCGAGAGATAGAAACTCTTCTTAGTGTGGACTTTGGCAGAGAACTGCACACTGTGGCTGTGTTAGCAGTGCCAGATGCTAAGGAGGCTGCAGAATAATAAAAAAATTGATTACTTTTATTTATGCCTCTGTGTGTGTCTGTCTGTCCCTGTCTCTGTTTCTCTCTCTCTCTCTCTCTCTCTCTCTTCCCCCCCCCCC